TTTATTTATTTATTTAGCAGTACTGGGGATTGAACTCAGGACCTTACACTTGCCAGGCAAGTGCTTATTCTACTAAGCTATCTCCCCAGCCCTGGCTGCATTTTTTGTTTGTTTGTTTGTTTCTCACTGCCTCTGACCAGATCTATTCAAAATAAGCTGTCCAAATTCACGGTACTTGTATGGCATAGAGATTTTGACAGTTTATGCAGCAGGCTTCTTTTCTTCAGCAGATTTCTTTTCTGCTGATTTCTTAGGAGCTGCAGGCTTTTTCCCCAAAGGCTTCTTCACAGGTTTCTTGGGACCAGCAGCTTTCTTTCCTTTCTTCTCTTCCACAGGCTTCTTACCAACAACTTCCTTTTCTTCCAATTTGGCTGTCCGCGCAGCTGCTTTAGTCAGACGGACCTGGCTGCATTTTATAATACAAACAAAACATTCTTTCTTTCCCCTCTCTTCCTCTTCTGTTCTTTGCTACCATCTTCCTTTTTTGGTCCTGGAGCCTGAAACCAGGGCCTTTGCACTGAGCTACAACCAAGTCCTTTTTATTCTGAGACAGGGTCACGCTGAATTGTCTAGGAACATTCTACATAATTGCTGGGTAAAATGGTTTTACAATGAAGTTGTGGTTGGAGCTTGTCCAGGGCCTAGTGTCCGAGGACACGCTGGCCAGCTACTGCCCACAGAAACAACTTCGTGTGCTTCCGGTCACAGGGAGGCTGAAACAGCTGAAGACATCCCCAGTTCCTTGAGGACCCAGTCATAATAAAAATAGGGTTTCCCCTTGGGGAAAGGACAACACCTTCTTACTCCCTCAACCCATCAACATAAAGATCCTCATCAGCGTAAGGTCGCTGCTGCCCTGGGCCATCTGACAATCCCTCCAGTTACTGTATACACCCAACGAAGCGTGGCTCGCTCCAGTGTCCTTGTCTCTGCCCCTCATCCTGCATCACTAAATTTATCTCTGTGTTCCTTTATTCTTTTGCCATACCCCTCTACAGGCAGCTGGGGATCCTGGTCAGGTCCCTGATACTAAGTCACTAATAGTTGTCCACACTTGGTTTGAACTTGTGACCGTCCTACCTCAGGCTCTCAAAACGCTGGGATTACAGGCCTGTGCCACCGTACATGGCTAGGTAGATCTCAATCTCGGACATTTGGAGACTGAAGCTGACAGAAGTCGGTGACTGGCCTCAGACTCAATAGTGATACTCCAAGTCCTGTAATATAATTTTACTCTACTGTTTTACAGTATATATTAACTGTACTAAACATAAGAAACTACAAAGAAATCTACAATTCTATGCAGTACATAATATGAAATATAATGGGGGGCTGGTGAGATGGCTCAGTGGTCTAAAGCACCTACTTAGAACAAGCTTAGCAAAGAACAGGGACCGCGGTTCAATCCCCCAGCACCACATGCCA